TGGCTTCACTTCACAGCCACAGCTGCGATGTTCGGGCCATACGCGGCCCGTTGGGCCTGGGTATCGGCTGTGCGCAGGTGCGTGGACAACACCTGGGACATCACGTCGGCGCGAACAGGGGGCGCCAGGCCCCCCCGCGAGATGATCGGGATCTCGTGGGCGCCGACATTGGCCGCGCGCAGTAGGGTGGGAGTGCTCTGGGCACGGCTGAGAGGAGGAGCCGAGCAACCGAGAGCCCATGGACCGAGAAACGGCTCGACAGAAATACCGAGTGTGGGGCACCACTCAGCCTCGCTGATATGCGGTTTTGACAACGCACCAGGTGTGTGGACTGGCAGCCCACCGTGACTGTCCCTGTCAGCATCAACTGCTCGAGTATAATTTTCTTCTCCCCTCCTCTCACACCGCGCGCCTGGCGTGCACTTCCTCCCCCCCCCTCCTGCATCCTAATGCTGCAGCGGCTAGCTGCCACACCGGGGTGCTTTCCGTACCTGGCGTGCATTTCCCCTCCTCTCCTCCTGCTTCCTTGTGCCTGTGTTCCTTCCGCGTGTCCCTTCCTCCCCTCCTGCATCCTAATGCTGCCGCGGTTGGCTGCCACGCCGGGGTGCTTACCGTGCCTGGCGTGCACTTCCCCTCCTCTCCTTTGTTTCAGCGGGTTTATCCCGCGCGGCTGGGGTTGCCGCCGATGCTGCTGTCTGGTGGTTCTCGGACAGCCTGAATTCCATGCGTGGAGCACACTGGGGACGGGCGGTCAGGTGGCCCCTGGCCTACTTCTGGCTGGTGTCGGCCTCCACTGGTGATCGATGGGTTCAGTGGGGTCTCGCTACGAATTCCACGCGTGGATCACACTGGGAATGGGCGGTCATGTGGCCCCTGGCCTGCTCCTGGCTGGTGTCGGCCTCCACTGGTGACCGAAAGGGTCCAGTGGGGTCTCGCACGCTGCCGACCTCCACGGTGCTTGGACTTCGGCACGTGTGGCTCGGTGCGCCCGTCGGCTGCTTTCTCCTGCAAGGAATTCGCTTTCGACATGTGCCAGTGCTGCACAAACAAGACGTACTGCCGTGTGCAGTCCTATCTGTGACGGGGTTGCCCCTCTTCACGCTTGCGTTGACACGATGCAGTTGTGTCGCCTACGGCACGGACGTCGTCCGGGTGTGCCTGTCGGTCTTGCTCGTCTCTGACGGTGCCTTGTGCCGACTCACACCGAGTGATTGACCTCTGCGCGTTTATGGTCGCGCCGCCGCGCGTTTTTGGGTGCGCTCACTTGTTGGTCGCCGCCGGGATCTGCACGCCACCGGGTTGGGAGTTTCGTTTTTGGTTCCTCTTCTGAGTGGTTTCCCGCGCGCTCGCTTCGCTTGCCTCTTTTTTCTTGCGGCCCATTCGCGGCCCGACGAGTGTTCGGACGGGTTTGGACCTGCTTCGCGGGCCCGCAAACCAAAAAGTATCTCCACCTGCCTCACGCTTGCGACAACAGGGTTGCGCTACTCTTTCGATTTTACCGGACGGCGCGCGGGTGACCGCGTAGCTCGCGAGCGACGCCCAGCAGCCCATCCAGAGACGATCAGCAGAGGAGTTGGTGAATCAGGGGCGGCAGGACGCATGCAGTCGCGCAGCCGTTTTCGGGAAAACATGGATCACACATAGCTTCCCGCATTGAAGTTTAATATGGAAACCGGTGCATGCGACGATGGTGCTTCGATGAGGTGTGGAGGGTGTTCGTAATGGCTGTTGCACCGATTTGTATATTAAGTTCGCGTGCGTTTCGAAACTTGGAGCCTTATTTGGGCTCTCTTGGGGTCTTCTTGGGGCCCTGTTGGGGCCCTCCTGGTGCTCGTTTTTGGGGCTCTATTGAGGTCCTCTTGGTTGGTCCTTCGAGCCCTCTTGGGGCTTGATTTGGGCGTCTTGGGGCCTTTTGGGGGCTCTTCTGGGATGCCTGAAGGGCCTCTTAGGGCCGTCTTGGACCCTTTCGCTCAAAAGAGGGGGGTCCTTAATTCGGACCCCCCTCGGAGGCTCAAAAATGCTGCCCTGGGGTCCTCTTGGCCCGCTCTTGGAGCGCTCTTGGGCGCTATTGGGGCCGTCGTTGGGCCCTTTCCCCCCCCCTCTTTGAGGCTATCTTGGTCCGTCGTGGGGCCATTTTGAGGCTTCAAGAGCCCCATCGGAAGCCAAAAGGCGCCAAAGTTTGGGACCCATTTTGGCCTCTTGGGGGAGTCCTTGGAGGCGTCGGAGGCACTTGAAACCGTCTTGGAGCCGCCTTGGAACCTTTTGGATGCGTGTCGGAGGCTATATTGAGCCAACTTGAGGTATTTTGGGCCATCTTGGAGGCCTTCTTGGGCTTTCTGAGGCGTTCTTGGAGCCATCTTGGGCCATTTTGGACGCTGCTATGGGTCGGGCCCCCCCCGTCCAAACGCATGGAGAGGGGGGAGGTAATCCTCCCGAGCAGGGAAAGGAAGGAGCTTGGAAAAGGAAACGCCTTAGACCACGTGCGCCCAGAGGGCTAGTGGGATTGGTTCGCAGGGTGCCACGCGAGGCCTCCTGAATTCTGCTTATAACATACGTCTGCGCTAGCCTTCGGCCCATCCCGTCACCGGCCATGGGCTGGGGGTCAGAGGCCACCTTGGTGCCCGCGTGGCTTTCGCGGGGGGTCTCTTGGAAGCGTCGTGGAAGCGGTGTCGGGGCGTCTCGGGGCATCTCGTGGGGCCTCCTCGTGGGCCTCTTGGGGCCTATTTCGGGCCTCTTCGGGGCCTGCTGAGGTTTCCTGAAGGCCCCGTGGGGGCCTGCTGACGGTCTCGGGGGCCATCTCGGGGTGAAGCGTTCGAAATGTCAGTGCGAGTTCCCTTTCCTGGGGCCCTCTGGGGGCCCTCTTGCGACCGTCTTGAGCCGTCTGCAGGCCCTCTTGGGCGTCTTGGAGCGATCGTTCTCGCTGGGGGCCCTCTTGGCCCGTTTTTGGGGGCCCGCCTGCCTCCAGAAAAGGCACGCGCCAGACGCGCGCGAAGTCCTGGAGACGCCCCAAAGCGCCCGGAATTCCTGGTTGTGGGCCCCCTGAAAGAAGTCATTACGCCAGGGAAAAAATCCCAATCACAGTATAGGGTTTTCGCTGAGGAGATCGACCGAAAACCCGGGAGCCCGGGAACCCAGAACCCACCGAAATCGGCCCGGAACCAATAACCGGGAACCCGGGAACCCGAAACCGGGATCGCGGGATCCTAGCTTGCTGCCGAAATCGGCGGGAAACTTTCGCCAACTCTTTCAACTTTCGCTAGGACCCCTTCAGTGCAAGCACTGTTGGGGAACCACTCCTATACAAGGGGACTCCAGAGGGGCCTGAAGGCACTCCGTGCCTCGCGGCACGGTGGCAGATATGCAGGAATTTAGACGGGTGTTTCTTGGCACGCATTACCAAGGTCTAAGCATGATGACGTATGCTGCAAGTCGGCTTGTTACGTTTCCCCCTTCGCAGAGTTATGTGTAGTTCGGCTGTGCAGGTCCTCCTTGCTGTATTTGCCCGCCTTTTCAAGATGTGCGTCTGCGTGTGGCGGTGTGAGCTCGGCACGCGGAGACAACTCGGTCGCATGGTGGCGTTTCAAGGGGAATTGGAAGAGCCACTCATGTTGGGAATTGCCAGAGTCCTGCCTTAATCGGGTTACCGTGTGTCGGCACCAGACTCGTGTCTCCGCTTCTGCCCCGTGCAAGCTCCAAACTTCCTCTCAGCCCCCTTCTTTTTGCTAGCCCGTGGCGCTCTTAGCTCCGTGCATTAGCGCGGGGCGTCTTGCCAGCTTCTCCGGGCGTGGCTCCAACACAGTGGCGCAAATCCTGCCTTGTCCAACACCAGGACGTCCCGCAGAGGTTCGCAGAGGCCTCCAGAGGCCCACATAGGGGAACGGACATCCCAATTCCGAGATCGTTGATCCTCGATCGTCGTAGACAAGCATTGAGCAAGGCCCCGCCACCCATGCGTTCGAGATCGCCCCCCCCTCTGGGGGTCCACTCCGGCCAGTGATCCCGGCCCTTGAGCCGATGACTCAGGCCACTTGCAGGGGGCGCCAAGGCAGTCGCACCTGGCGCGTTGCGGTCTGGGCCAAATCAGCGGCCTTTCCCAAGGAGGAGCGGCGCGAGGGCGAAGATCATCCCCGCATCTCGGGGCGTAGTGCGCGAAACGAATCAGGCGGCCCAGGAGAAGCTTCGGAAGCGTACAGAGGCCTCCAAAACGGTGGCGACGACGACTACTTCGTTGCCGACTGCCCGAACGTCTTCTCACAGGCGGCTGTGCGCCCCCGATTCCCGAGTTCCCTCCGAGAAATCAGGTCGCTCAGGAAAGATGGGCAACTCAGGGATGCACGTTCAGGGAGCCATTGGGACGACCTTCAGGGGGCTATTGGGACGCACCCCGATCGAGGATGCGCGCCCCCCCACCGCATATGTGATCCCGGGTCGAGGGCCCACGGGCCCCCCCCGCCCCCCCAGATGGGATGGGTCCCAGGACTTCACGGGCCCCCCCCAGCCCCCCCCCCTCCCCCAGATGGGATGGGGGGGGGGACGACGACGGCGACGACGACGACGACAACAACGACGACGACGACGACGGCGACGACGACGGCGACGGCGACGGCAACGACGACGACAACGACGACGGCGGCAACGATGGCCACGACCACGACGACGACGACGACGACGACGACGGCGGCGGCGGCGGCGGCGGCGACGACGACCTCTGGAGCTCTCCTGGAGCACCACAGTACCACGCCACACACGCCACACCCACAACACCACACCACACTCCCAGGTGGGTGGGGGGCACCCATCGTGGGGTGGTGGGGGGGTGTCCCGATGCCATCAGCATAGTGGGGGGTGGGGGCAGGACCTGGATCATATATCCCCGAGCTGGGACCCAAAATTGCTGGTCCAGTCGACAACACCCCCCAAGTCGGGGAGGGGGTCGCCATGCCCCTAGTTATCTTCTGGCGACTTGCCCACGCCTCAGTTCCCCCCTCGGCTCTGACCAGGACTCCGAGGAGCCCATCCCCGGCATCGAGCCGGCCGCGGGGGCGGAGACAGGGGAGCCGGAGAGGTCCGCGGCCCAGAGGCGAACGTGGAGGTGGAGGGGGCAGGGATGGGCGGCGGTAGCAAGGAGAGGGAGGGAGGAGGGAGGATGGGGAGGGGGAGGAAGGAGGATGAGGGGGAGGGGGGAGCAGAGTTGGGGAGGGGGAGGGGGAGGCTTCCCCAATCCCCCCCCCGTCCTCTTACCTCCTCCCAGCGAGTTGCGTGCCGTTGTGATCTGGCAGTTGTGTGTACAGCCAAGCGGGTCTGCAACCCAACAAAACAGCATTCTCCTTCCCTCCCCCCCCCCATTACTCCTTGCTCATTCCACGCTCGGGAGGATCCTTCTCCCCCCCGGAGCGTAGCGACGAACCCCTTCGAGCATTCCCGTCTGGATTGAGAAAGGGGGGAGAAGGAGGTTGGAAGACGCTATTCCACATTCTTTTTACGGAGTAAATTCCATAAACATAGACCGTCGGAACTCCGCCCAGATTTTTGGAGCTGCGCCGGAAGCGCAATGGGTTGCGCCACCAGCGCGCGCTCCGCGCGCCAGGGTGGAGGGTTTCAGCGCAGGTTCAAGAAGTCCGCGCAGCCCGCCGACAGTTTATGGTCATGCCTTGTTTGGGCCCCTCCAAGTTTCAGCTTCTGGTGGCCCAGCTCGGCCCTTGGACCGTCCAAAAGCCGGTCCGGGGACCAGTTTTGCACGGCCATTTGTCGGGAGGAGGAGGAAGAGAAGGAGGAGGAGGAGGAGGAGGAACGATCATCCAGGATCGAAGATCGAGGATCGAGTTTGTGTAGTGTTTCTCTTTTGTTCCTTGAACCTCCGCGCGATTCCCGAGGACCTCTGGACAGAAACACCCAGGGGAAATGGAAGGCCGATGGGGAGGAGGATGGGAGGAGTGAGGGAGATCCTCCTTCTCCATCATCCTTTCAAGAGGCGCAAACATGGAGAAGGGCGCGTCGATTAGCGACGGGCCCCGCTTCTATCTAACATCGGCACGCTGCGTCGCCCAATCAGGCGGCACTGGAGCCATGTTCCAGGGGCTACTTTCTCTATCCGTGGGTTCCTCTCGATTCGCGGCATGCACGTCCAGAATGTGTAGAGCATGTGCGTCTGGGAAGAGGAAGTGAGTGGGGGAGAAACAAGGAGCAGCAGCTCCGGGCTGAGCTGCTGCTCCTTGTTTCTCCCGCCCTCCCTTCCCCTTCCTTCCCCCCCCTCCTCCTCTGTGCCTCAGGGCTTCCTTCGCGCTTGTTAAAAAAGTGTAGAGCATGTGCGTTTGGGCTCTTCTTGAGGCCCACAGGGGGCTCTTGGGGACATCTTGGGCCTGAATTGCGGCTTGTTGGGGGACTGATGGGGCGTCTTGGGTGGTGTCTGCGGCCGACCTCGGGCGCTCTTGAGCCGTCTGCCGTCTTCAGGAGCCGACTTTGGGGTGGCTCTTGGCCGTCCAGGGGCCTCCAGGGAGCGTGTTGGGTAGTCTCGTGGGCCGTCTCGGGGCCCACTTCGGTCGTCAGGGGGCTGTCTTGGGTGCCTCGTGGGCCACCTTGGGTCCGTGTGGGGGGAGGGCCCTCTTGGGGGCGTCTTGGGCTGTCTTGGGGCCTTCCTTGAGGCCTCTCGGCCTGTCTTGGGATGTCTGGCGCCCACAAAGTTGAGAAAGCTAAAGTCTGTCCATCGCCTGGGGGACACCACTGCTTTATGCCAGTGGCGGCCCTCTTGGGGGTGGCCTTGCAGCCCTCCTCGGTCGTCTTGCGGGTCTGTTGGGCCGTCGTGGGGGATCTTAGACAGTGCTGCGGCCGTCTCGGGCCGTCTTGGCGACATCTTGGGCCATCTCGAGACCCTCCAGGGCCGTCTCGAGTTCTTCTATTGATTTTCAAGGAACCCAAGAAGCCTCAAGTACTGACCTTCCTCCAGTTTTTGAACGATTTACCGCCTTGTGTCCGTGGATGGGGCGCGGTTCGTGCGGGGGGGGGAAGAGTCGGTCATTTAATAATATGTCAGTGCAAAGCTAGGTGATCTACAGTTACATGCAATGATTGGCCACGCGGGATATGTTACATTACAGCCTGCGCAGGCTTGCCTCTGGCAACACGTTCTGTCCGGACGTGGATATGGCAGCCACGCGCCAGCCCCACGGATTCCTAATCCATGCTAGTGTGCGCCATCTCTTCCTTCTTCCTCCTCCTGCTTTCATTGCCTGTTGTTGTATTGCTCGTACGTGTCAAGACTTCCTCCTGCCCGACGCGCTATCACACCTGACCGTCGGGCAGGCCAGGCGTTCCACTTACGCTTTGTGATTATTGTGCTGGACTTTCGCATTGCATGCATGGATGGAGGGAGAGTCCCGCGAGTCATGCTCAATTGGTGGTGCTAGAATTCACGCCGCGCACACCCATTTTCGCAGGCTTCCAGAAAATATAAAGTGGAGGGGTGGGCCGCTGGCATGTTCCAGTCCTTGCCTTAGCAACGCGCATGCTCGTCCAAATCATCCACAACTGCTTGGCTTCGCAGTTTACAGCCCTTGCACGGATTGAGCGCGAATTCTTTTCAACATCGGGCTCCCTCTTGCCATTTTATAACGGGCTTCTCGCTTGCACGGTATCGATGACGGGCTTTGGGACGGGAGCGTGCGTTGCAGCATCGTTGACGCGCCCTGGGTTTACTCTCGTCATCCTGCTCCCATTATGTCCTTCATCCCCGTCCTCCAGCCATCTCCACAATTACTCAATATGAAAATACTCTCCCTCTTCCCCTGATGGCGTCCGGGTGATGGCCACGCACCCTCCGCGTACTGTTTTTTACACACAGGATCCCCGGGAAATCCCAGGAAACGACTCTCGCTGAGGCGCCGGCGTCATTTTTTCCCAAAATGCTGCTCTCGTTGAGGCGCCGGCCTCATTTCTGCTCCCGACTCGTTCCAAATCGTGCTCCTGCTGCAGCGTGGGCCTCATTTTCGGATCGGTGTTTGGCCTCCGTCGTTCAGGATGGCGTTCTCGCCCCAGCGCGGGCCTTTTTCTCGCGCGCCCATCCGCCCGCCACCACCGCGCCGCACCGCCACCACCACCACCACCACCACCACCACCACCACCACCACCACCAGCACCAGCACCAGTACCAACACCACCACCACCAGCACCACCACCACCACCACCAGCACCACCACCACCACCATCACCACCACCACCACCACCACCACCACCACCACCACCACGACAACCACGCACACACGCACGCACGCACGCACGTGCACCACCACCCACTACGCACGCGCGCGCGGAGCCACAGGTCCGCTACGACACGCGTCCGCGGATAGAGAAAATCAGCGCCATGGTAAGGGATGGGAGGGAGGGGTAGGACGTCAGATATGACGCGAGCGCACCTAGCTTGCCTACCCCCCCTCCTCCGCCTCCTCTCCCCGTCCTCATGCATCTCTTCCCCTCCCGAAGAGGTGCGATTATTTTGTGACGGCTTCGGTTTATATTAGGACGACAGGGAGAGGATGGTTAGGAAGAGGTCTGCGGGGGGAGAGAAAGAAGAAGGGGAGATTAGAAGAGGAGAGGATAATGGTTTAATGCGTATTCTGATGTTTTCGGGCGAGGGGGTGGGGCAGCGGGAGAGGGAGGAGGAGGAGGAGGAGGAGGAGGAGGAGGAAGAGGGGTTGCGCACGGATGGATTCCCCCCAGGAACTCCCGGCTGGCTTCAGCAGGCCCCCCGAGTAGACCCAGCTAGCCTCAACAGGCCCCCCGAGTAGCCCGGTGGCGGTGTCAAATCTGGGGCGCAGGCGGCGCCAGGCTGTTGAGAGAGCCCCGGACTTGTCGGGGGGGGCCTGTTGAGGCCGAAGCCGAAGCCTTGCCACGTCAGCCTCTCAAGGGGCTCCCTGTGGGCGGAGACGGCTCAGGGCTAAGCGGCTCGCGCGGAGCTACGGAGCCATGGCCTGGTCCCACGTCTCGCAGAACTGAAACCGGCGTAAGTAAAATTTCTCGGAGGTCCGCGCGGATTTTTTGAATCGGCGCTGGTCCCCCCTGGCGGCGCGTCTGGCGTCGCCCAAAGCGCGCTCCACGCAACCTTGCCTCTCGGGCCCTGAGAGACTTTGCGGAAAAGTTGCAGCGTCGCAGAGAATCGCAGCCCGAGCCCTGGACCCCACTATTCTGCCGTGTTTTCCGAGCCGGACCGAGCATTCCGGATCCAGGAGTCCGAAACGGAGCGAGCGCGCCCGGTGTGCAAAAGTGCAATGCCAGGATCTCAGGGTTGAACGCTTCACGGGGTGCCAGAGACCTGGCATCGCTCGGACGTGTGCATTTTTTTCTCGGCGAGGACCCTGGAGGAGCATCTTGGATCATCGAGCGAACAGGAACACGCACGAAAACGAAAAATGCAAAGGGAATGGACGTTCAAGCAATGGCAAGGAGAGTGCCAGGGCCAAATCCCGCGTCGTCACGGCGGCGGCCTGCGTGGCGCACTGCTGCGGGGGGGCCCGCGCCTGCCGAGGCCCGCGGCTGACAAGGTCGCGGAGGTCGGCGGAGACGTGCCCATGCCAGCGGTGCCGTCGGAGGTCGGTGCGGTCCAATCTAACGCTTGATCTTTCTCACTCTTCCTGCTCCCGCTGTCACGCTTGTCCTGTCTCTCTCTTCTTTTTTTGTTCCTCTCTCTATCTCTCTCTCTGTATGTCTATGCTGGGGGCGAGGGGGTGAGATCGTTGTGAACTGGATTGCCCCCCACTGGGAAATCAGTTCCAGTTTCGTGTTCGTGTCGTGTGTGCGGGCGAGGCGAATCTGCGCGGGCGGGCGAGAGGAATGACCCCTCCTCGGGCTAGGGCGCCGCCGGGCCAACAGACCGTCCCCCCCCCCGGTTTGGGCGGCGGTGGCCGGGGTTGTCCCGATGGTATCCCGCGGGTGTCCTGTCGGTGTCCCGGTTATGTCCCGTAGTGTGACTGATGGTGAGATCGATTGTGAGAAGATAGAGAGATTGTCGCAAGATCGAGGAATCGTGCCATCGGTAGTAGGATCGATAGTGAGATCGATCGTTCGATCGATAGTGAAAACGAGTGTACGATCGGTAGTGAGAGCAATAGTGAGGTCGATGATGGGATCGATAGTGACATCGATAGTTAGATCGATTGAATGGGACAACGGTTCCTGGCCCCAAACCTTCTCATCGCCCAAATGGTGGTTGTGTAGGTCAAACCTTCACACACACACCGATACACGCACACCCATACAGACAAACATGTATGACCGACCTGCATACCTGCATGCATGCAAACATACATGCGTAATTACGTGCGTACATACATGTATGCATATTCACTTACGTAAATGCATGCATGCATACATACATACATACATACACACACAGATATGTATACATACATACATACAAACAAACAAACAAACAACCAGAGAGACGGACATACCGACATACATACATCCATACATGTATCATTATATACATAGACGCATCCATGTATACACCCTGGTATGCACACAGCCAAACATGCGTAACCACACATTCATACGTGCATGCATACATGCATGCATGCATACCTACATACCTATATACCGATCTACCGACATGTCTACCGACCTACCCACAGACCTACACACATAAACATACATATGTACATATCGACCAACATACATACACACATACATACATACACACATACATACCTACATATATACACACAGGCATACATACATACATACATACATACATACATACATACATACATACATACATACATACATACACGACTGCACACATACATAAACGCATTCATGGAAGCGTCCATGCATGCATTCATTCATATTCACAGCCGTGCAGACATATACACATACATGCATACACACATACACACCGACAGACAGACCAACATACAGACAGGCAGACAGGCAGGCAGGCAGACAGACAGACAGACAGACAGAAAGACCGACGTACATACATGCATACATACATACATACACACATACATTCATACATGCATACATACATACAATCATTTGATTTGCATATGCGTCGGAATAGGCCAGGAGGGCGTGCCAGACCGCGGCCCCGCGATTGGCATGGGGGACCCAGGCGGCCTACGGGCGCCACGAGGGCTCCCGGGCGGCTCCAGAGGCTGCCACGATTGGCTCAAGTCTGCCAAAATTCTCCCGCGAGAGCTCTAAAACGCCCCAACGCGGCGTCAAAAAGGGCCAAGATACCTTCAAGACGCCGCAAGTGGGCTTCAAGATGCCTCCCTAGAGGACCCCAGGAAGCAAAAGTCATCAACTTCCTGTGGGAGAGCGTACTCCAGCAGCTTCGCTTCTCCAGTTATCGGTCCAAGAGGTGCCCCAGGAGGTTCAACTACCGCTTCCGAGGCCCGAACACGGTTCAAGAAAGCCTTCAAACGGTCCAAGGGAGGCCCACAGGGCTCCACCAGGGTGCCACGACGTGTCGTGGAGCATTCTCTTGGGGGTGGCGGCTCCCAGCATGCCCCCGTCACCTCCCAGAAGCCTCCAGGACGCTCCCAAGAGGCCCCAAGAGTCTTCCGAGAGACCTCGAAGACATCCCCTGGATCACCCAATAGACGCATAAGAGGCCCAAAGGGGCTCCCTCGATGCTTCCAAACCATCCCAGAAGGCTTCCCAACGGGCCCCCAGAAGCGCATAGGAGGTCTCGTGCCGATGTCTTGCACGGTGTGCTTCAAGAGGCTCCCAGTTCACTATCCATCTCAGGGCTTCACGAGGCCCATCAGAAACACATTTCGAGGCCCCGGCAGGCATCCCAGGCGCCCCACACTCACTATCCAGGTCATGGGTGTGCCGCCATGGGCAGGCCGTCTTCGACGACGCTTCTTGGCGAATGCGTGTAAAATCCGCTCCTGGGCCATCCACCCCTTCTGCCTCTGACAATGTTGACGAAGTACCATGGCCGCGAAGTGGCTAGCAGGGGCTGGAAATTGCCAGGGCCGTGGACATCATACGATGTTTTATTTGTTCAGCCCGCGGGGCCCAGAGATCTCGACCCTTCCCCCCAGGGGGCAGGGAGGGGGGAGATTCCCTGTCCCGAATCCACGTTTGAAAGCATCAGTTCTCCCGAACTGCCCTAGGATGCCGAAAACGAGGAAACAAATGCCATTGAATGTCAGTGGGAACTCGATCTGGGATGGTCCATTACGTCTTGCTGCATCGGCCCAATGCCTGGCGTGTGTTGCGGGGGCTTTATTGTTATTGTGCGTTTGTTTGCCCATATATATATATGTATTCATTCATACACGGTCACACATATACAATTATTGTAAAGGCGCATAGATTCATGTTTTCTAAATATCGCACCATACTAATGTAGATACATAAATAAAGCCTCCTGAAGAAAAGCACAGACCGATTCAGCAGCCCCACCCCGCCCCCATCCAAAGCAGGCCGTGTGCGGGGCCGCCGCTACCGCTCTGGGTGCTCCGACGCAAGATTGGACGGGGAAGGAGGGTCGCGTCGTTGCGAGAAGATGGCCCCATGACCACGCAACCCCATGAAGATTCCGAAGCGCTCCTGAAACCCATGGCAGCCTTGGTCAATTTTATCTTCAGGATTGTGGCACCCAGGAGTTGCCTGAGAGTCGGACAAAAAAGGTACCGATAGCCTATTCCTTGGCAGGTCTGAGGCCAGAGTCTTCAACGCGCGCATTGGATTATTCTCATCGCGAGGGCGAGACAGTCCTTCGTGATTAACTGGGGCCAGCGTGCAGGCAATTGGTGGACCAGCCGTGGAGACTGCCCGCTGCTAGGATACCTCGCAGCCAACATCGCGATGATTTCTTAGTTTGGGAAAAACCGACAGCGGCGCATGCTACATTAGGAAGTCTGGAACATTATGGCTCGTCCTGGCTGGCTGACGCAGGCGTTGAGAAGCCGAACGACCTGCGCCGCACGCTCCTTCTCGTCCTCCTCGTCCTCCTCGTTTATCCTGCTTCGCTTCGTGCCCGTTCCCCTCTTCTGCGAGGCAAGATGTGCTCGAGCACCGCACGATTGCTTTCGGCTCGTCTGTCTGCTCAGCCCTAGTCATGGTTGCGCGTGCTGTAGATGCCTTCCGAATGGGGCTTCAGATTCGAGAGGCTTGCGGGAAGCTGTGGGGAACCCGCCACCTCGCGCTGCTCACTGTGGCCGGGAGGCGCTGAGCAGATGCTTTCGTCCGCCTTGTCGAATGCAGGAAAAGGGGGTGAGCGATGACACGGAAACATCATCATGCCCTCTCCAAGCTATACCCCACCCCGTGCTCGCACTGAAGATAACATGATGCCCTGTCTAAGCACATTGTTGTTCGAGTTATTGCTGACGTCTGGCGTCTGTGTTCGAAACCATCCAGAGACAATCGCGTACACTTGGAGTACAAGCAAGAGTGGACATCGCCCCAAGATGGCGCAAGAGGCCTCCAAGTCGGCCCAAGAGAGGCCCCAAGACGGCCTGTGAGGCCCCAAAAGTGCTCCACGGGGCCGCGCGAGGGATTCAAGAGGGGGAAAACGAAGGAGCAGATGTTTCTTTCTCTTGAATATTACCCCCAATACCCCCAGCATGGCCCCGATAGACCTTCAAGAAGCCCTAGAGGCCCCCAACAACCGCCCGCAAGGCCCCAAGAAATATCTAAGAGGCTTCCGGTCCACAACCCCGTCACGGTGGCGGGATGGGCCCAATCCGGCTTCCCATCGCTTTTAGATCCAAGGACGCTAACCCGAGATGGCCCAAGAGGGCTCCACAATCGCCCCAGAGCCCCGAAGAGACAACGAATACTGCCAGGAGATCTTCCATGCGGGTCCGAAACGGTATCGCAAGACACCGTAGACGGACCTTCTGGCTTGCTTCCAATAGGTTCCCAGACGGCCCAGCGACTTTGGGAGGCGAAGGAGGAGGAGGAGGAGGAGGAGGAGGAGGAGGAGGAGGAGGAGGAGGACGAGGACGAGGCGGAGGAGGAGGAGGAGGAGGAGGAGGAGGAGGAGGAGTTGGAGTTGGAGTTGGAGGAGGAGGAGGAGGAGGGGGAGGAGGCGGATGATACACCCACCTCCAGGTGACCCCCCAATATGGTCCAGAAGTGGCCCGAGAAGGACTGTTGAGTCCCCAGCAAAGGTTTCCAGAGGGGTCCCAATGCCCAATGCTATTTATTCGCTTTCCTGCTCTTCCTTTAATGATCATCCACCTCCCCCTCCAACTTCCCCCTCATCCGCCCTTCACCCCCTCGGGCCACAACAGAGAGGGTCGAACAGAAGTGGAGTAGTGTGGCCTTCGAACGGGGATGTAAGAGTGAGCAGCGGTGGGTTAAGAGGCCAAACTAATGCCCCAATAGCGATCAACTGTTGTCCAGAGAGCAAGCCCACACGGCCCCCCAGATGGCCGCGCGAGAGTGTAACGACAAGCGTGGAGGAAGAGGCGATGGCTTCGAGGAAGACACAGAGAGAGAGAGAGACAGAGAGAGAGAGAAAGAGAGAGATAAGGAGAGAGAGAGAGAGGGAGAGAAACAACGAAACATACTCCGACGGCAGGACCCCGCATGCTAATCTGTTTAGCTTGCCCTGAGCCCTTTT